TCTGTGTGGAGGCAGTGTCCAGGATCTGTTTATGAAATGGTGTGACAATGCCAAAGAATTTGCTTTTTTGGGTTGCCCCCAAAAAATCCCGGAGAAGATCCTTGGTCTCCCTAGGGTTTGGGAAATACTGTGCCCCAAAGACCCGCATTTTGGTTTATAAAATGCCTGGGGAACCAACTTCCACAAAACTTCGACCTGGTGGACCCATTTTATAAACCCCTTAAAGATCGTAAAACATATCAAATGGATTCATTTCAAGCATGCTACTGGTGCTCTCCGCTCCATGTCAGGAGAGCAGCCTGAACGTCCAGGAGAAGAAAAGCCAGGCCATGAAGTCATTGGCTTGTTTCTTCAGCATATGGGGTTATAAAATGGGTATTCCAAGGATTTCCAAGGGGCAGGATGGTATAGTCACCCAGAAAGACAATTTTATACTCACATAGATGGATAGAATACGGGTTTTTCCAAGTTTTTCATTTTTTTCTGTGTGGAGGCAGTGTCCAGGATCTGTTTATGAAATGGGGTGACAATGCCAAAGAATTTGTTTTTTTGGGTTGCCCCCAAAAAATCCTGGAGAAGATCCTTGGTCTCCCTAGGGTTTGGGAAATACTGTGCCCCAAAGACCCGCATTTTGGTTTATAAAATGCCTGGGGAACCAACCTCCACAAAACTTCGACCTGGTGGACCCATTTTATAAACCCCTAAAAAATCGTAAAAGAAGGTACGATAGAGGAGGTTCAAAACAGAAATGATGAGAACATATGAAAATAGATGAAAATAGGTGTTAAAAGAATTTAAAAGATATAAGCATAATCAAACCTATTGGTGGTCCCCACTCCATGCCAGGAGAGCAGCCTGATCGTCCAGGAGAAGAAAAGCCAGGCCATGAAGTCATTGGCTTGTTTCTTCAGCATATGGGGTTATAAAATGGGTATTCCAAGGATTTCCAAGGGGCAGGATGGCATAGCCACCCAGAAAGACCATTTTATACTCACATAGATGGATAGAATACGGGTTTTTCCAAGTTTTTCATTTTTTTGTGTGTGGAGGCAGTGTCCAGGATCTGTTTATGAAATGGGGTGACAATGCCAAAGAATTTGCTTTTTTGGGTTTCCCCAAAAAAATCCCGGAGAAGATCCTTGGCCTCCCTAGGGTTTGTGAAATACTGTGCCCCAAAGACCCGCATTTTGATTTATAAAATGCCTGGGGAACCAACCTCCACAAAATTTTGACTTAGGGGACCCATTTTATAAACCCCTTAAAGATCGTAAAAAGAAGGTACGATAGAGGAGGTTCAAAACAGAAATGATGAGAACATATGAAAAATAGGTGTTAAAAGAATTTCAAAGATATAAGCATAATTAAACATGTCAAATGGAATCATTTCAAGCATGCTATTGGTGGTCCCCACTCCATGCCAGGAGAGCAGCCTGATCATCCAGGAGAAGAAAAGCCAGGCCATGAAGTCATTGGCTTGTTTCTTCAGCATATGGGGTTATAAAATGTGTATTCCAAGGATTTCCAAGGGGCAGGATGGTATAGTCACCCAGAAAGACCATTTTATACTCACATAGATGGATAGAATACGGGTTTTTCCAAGATTTTCATTTGTTTCTGTGTGGATGCAGTGTCCAAGATCTGTTTATGAAATGGGATGACAATGCCAAAGAATTTGCTTTTTTGGGTTGCCCCCAAAAAATCCCGGAGAAGATCCTTGGTCTCCCTAGGGTTTGGGAAATACTGTGCCCCAAAGACCCGCATTTTGGTTTATAAAATGCCTGGGGAACCAGCCTCCACAAAATTTTGACTTAGGGGACCCATTTTATAAACCCCTTAAAGATCGTAAAAAGAAGGTACGATAGAGGAGGTTCAAAACAGAAATGATGAGAACATATGAAAATAGGTGTTAAAAGAATTTCAAAGATATAAGTATGACTAAACATTCTAAATGGAATCATTTCAAGTATGCTACTGGTGCTCTCCGCTCCATGTTAGGAGAGCAGCCTGATCGTCCAGGAGAAGAAAAGCCAGGCCATGAAGTCATTGGCTTGTTTCTTCAGCATATGGGGTTATAAAATGGGTATTCCAAGGATTTCCAAGGGGCAGGATGGCATAGCCACCCAGAAAGACCATTTTATACTCACATAGATGGATAGAATACGGGTTTTTCCAAGTTTTTCATTTTTTTGCGTGTGGAGGCAGTGTCCAGGATCTGTTTATGAAATGGGGTGACAATGCCAAAGAATTTGCTTTTTTGGGTTGCCACCAAAAAATCCTGGAGAAGATCCTTGGTCTCCCTAGGGTTTGGGAAATACTGTGCCCCAAAGACCCAAACATGGTGCCCCAAAGACCCACCTTTTGGTTTATAAAATGTTTGAGGCACCAACCACCCAAAAACTTTGACCATGTGGACACATTTTATAAACCTTGAAAGGGAAAGGACAATAACCTCATGATGTTTCATGAATACTTTTCAAGTATCCAAAAATATTCCGTTTAATCTTTCATGTGGGCATATCTACCTTCAGGCATGTGTATGTTTATAGAATGCATTGGGATCCAGCTTACCAAAGCTTCAACCTGGTTTGAGCCAGTTTATATACCAATTTCACCTTCCATCGGCTTGTGCTTCCAGGGTCTGGCCAAAAGGATGGCAATGTCAAGCGGGAAGCTGGGATAATGGCAGGAGTTTGGGAAACGAATGGGTTGGAGAATTGAAGAGAGCACTTTTTCACTGCCTGAGCTATCACCTAGGGTTTCAGTTTCATCCATTGATGTAGGACTAAAAGTGAAGCGAGAGATGATCAAAGGCTCTTGGCTTGTGAGATCTCGGGATGAATTTACTACTTAGCCTCACATAGTTTTTGGTTCTCAGGAATTCTCAAGTCCTTTTGACATGAATGAGTGATCACAAGAGAAAGAGACATATTCATAATTCATACCTATCATATTCTATCATTATCTATCCAATTATCCAATCCTTTCTCGCCAATGCACAGTGCATTTCAATCACGCATGACATCCCTTGGCCCCATCCCTTCACCTACCCCACCTATATACTTCTTGACCGGAACGGGTTCTGCTCTAGGTGGATATCGTGTCAAGACAGAACCTGGTGCTCGCAAACATCCAGGTGACGACATTGGGGTTCTGGCCGTCAGATCTTTTTGCATGAAACAGAGCAATAGATAGTAATAGCATATAATAGCGTATATAATAGTAATTTATAAATTCATCAAGCTGGTCTTCCCAGAGTCTAGGTTGACATGAGTTGGGCGCCTCACGATTTTATAAACATGACTGACTGCCTAGTGCTGCGTTGGACCCCTCCCTCAACATTTGGATTTCTTTGTGTGATTCATACGGAGCAATATGGAGCATATATAGGTTTTGAACGGTTTTGATGTTTTTTGATGTATATAAATTGCGCAAATGCATATTACAGGCACATTGTAGCTCCATGCAGCCGCCCCTGCCTTTTTATAGAGCCAGTGGCAGCCCAGTATTGGCATAGTAGCATTTTGGCCGTCAGGCTTGAAGTCAAAAGATCCCGTGCGAGACCATATGGCCAGGGTCTAATTTGTTTCCCCTAAGTTGCAGCCGAATGGATTGTAAGCCAATGGGTCATTGAATCCTTTTTACACAACATTCCGAGGTAAAGAGGGCGCAAGATGTTCTCACAGACAAGACCTATGTGGATATGGTAGATCTAGCCCTACTCGCTCATAAGCGAAAGAAGGCAGATGTTATTTTCTTTCTTCGGTGGTATTGTTCAATTTGCTTGGATCATTTTGTTGTTTTGGTGAATGTTGAAACTTGAAAACCCATTGTACGTTTGGGGCAAATTTGCAATAGGCAGCCTGAGGGGAAACATCCATGCAGGCATTGATATTGATCCCCTTTGACCACAATCCAGATCCTGATCCTACTGATGTGGCGTCGATTCTCAATGAGTTCCTGCCAGATTGTGATGCCTTTCCCATTGTTGATGATGACCAACCATGGCAAATACTCCTTTGTAGAGCGAACTACGAACCGAGCTCAGATCATTCAAGCGGGAAGCTCAGCTTTCAGAGCATCCGGCCAGGGGTGGTGATGCAGTGGCCTAGTCACGTCAGCACTTTCTATATCTTTCCATCTCAACACAGATCAAAAAACAACTTGTTTAGTTGATATACTTTGATGCATGGATTGATATAGCTTTTGGTTGGTGGGTGTTTTTTTTCTCAACACCCAGAGATGAAACACAGCCCAGGTTTCAATCATTTTGTCCCAGTGTGGAGACGTGCAGCGTTGGGCACAGACAGATGCAACCAGATGAAAAAGGCTCTTGATGTGGAATTCAAAACTCTACTTCAAAGCCCAGATTTGTCCATGATGATTGAGCCTTCCGATGTCCTGGCTCTTTCCAGAATGCACTTGATGAAAGAGCAGTTGCAGCATTTGGGCAATTTCCAGGCCTTGCAAGACTGGTTGGGTGAGCGAATTGCTTCCAATGTTCCAGGTGATGGAAATTGTGCCATTTGGTCGGTCCTTTCTTTGATAGATGACAACCCTTTCCTGCAACCAAACCAGGCAGCCAACACCAAATTGCGCCAGGAAATAGCAGCGCACTGCTCTCTGTGTTGGATGATTCTGCATGGCAGAGAGTGTATACTGGCATTGTCAACCCGTTTGATGATTGTTCTGAGAAGGATGTCGTTGATGACGTTGAAATAGTGTCGGAAAACATCACAGGACCTTTCTGTGGTCAGGTGCACAAAAACGAGCCCAAGAGGGAGCAGAAAAGTGAAAGGATTTCACCTCCGAGACGAAGATTGAAACAGCCAGAATTTGTTGATCTGACCACACCTCCAAAGAAGGGAACCCAGCCAGAGCCAGACAAAGGGCAGGAGAAGAAGGGATCACAAAAAGTTCAGCCAGAAATTGTGGGAGCCAGCCGCCCTGCCTTTCAGAGGAAGAATTTTGCAGAAGAGGAAAAGCCTCTGGAGCATTTGGGTATGAGAGCCCAAGCAAGTAGAAAGTTGGGAAAGCTCTTGGATGATGATCATGCTGATCCTGGTGATGATCAAAACGGAGATCCTTGCGAGGATGGCCCTGAGGAAGAAGAGCAGCAACCTGCCAAGAAACGCCGCAGACGCACTTGCAAAGTCAAGCAGCCCACTCTAGAAGAGAGAAGGATTGCAGCTGCAAAGGCATACCTTGGCTCAGTTGGCGTCACTTGGCAACGCCACCAGGGGTTTCATTCACGCTTTGCAGTTGCCAGCTCAGAGTACAAATGTGTGGCCTACAGAAAGATGGTTGCTAAGCTGATGGAGGGTGAGTTCCCATCGTGCCTGACCTGTACGTCTATGTTGACTCAGCATGGGTTCAATATGGACACATTCCAGGGGAGATTGCGGGAGGCTTCTGCTGATCCATCACTACCCTCACCAGCAACCAACCAGATCTCCAACCTTCTTCAAGGTCTCTCTCTGCAGTATCCTTTAGATGGAAATCTGGACTTGATTCCGCTTCAAGATGCTCCTGCTGCAGATGGTGAAGCTGCAGGCACTGCAGGACATAATTTTGAAGCTGCACTTTACTCGAATTGGCTGGTTTATAAAATGCAATGGGGTCATATGGGGTCTAACTTACCAAATCTTTGACCTGGTTGGACCATTTTATAACCCCCAATGCGAGAATAATAGCCCGTTTTTTTTTCTCCTATAGCGTTGGGGGCAGCAGTGTACCCAAAATAAAATCAAAGTAGGGATATGCTGGTCTTTATGAATTGTTTTTGAATATTTTTGGGCATCCATTTCAAACAGCCGCGACCTGGCTGAGCCATTCTATACACCTTAATGGCACGGCAGTAGACAATGTGTGACTTTTATACAATGACTTTTTGAAGTGTTAGATAGCAAAACAGAAGAATCATGTTGTTCAGATGATTCTATAAATTGCCATCTATGATCGTTTGACTTCCAGGAGGCAGTAATCAAGATGCCGGTGAGGATGATGCTGAGGTTGAAGACTTGGACAGTGTCCTCCGCCAGTCGAAGTTTTTTGAGATTTTGGATGCAGGACTCCATGACAAGCGGGTGCCTGTTAGGTGCATGCTCTGCAAATCCTCTGCATTTCCAGATGGAAAAGTGTTTGAGGGTCACAAGCGCAGGGCCAGCACGATCAGGAACTTCATCAGACAACATTGCCGAGGTGACGGGCACATTGCTGCAGTATCAGCATATGTGCGGGATCAGGATCCACAAGTGGAATCAGCAGCACTGGCAGATGCAGTTCAGCAGAGGCCTTGTGATGGAATTTCAGTGACCCATGGCAAACACCGTGCCTCTGGGTTCGTTCGGGAAATCCTGTTGTGGGCAAAGCACACCAAGCTGGGCACTGCATTGGCCAAAAACACATATACATTTGACCTGGCTAAAGAAGAGCTGAAGGTCAAGCATGCCTCTTGTGAGAAGTTTGCAGCAACCAGTGATCTATCCGAAAACCCATGTTGTCAGAGCTGTCAACGATCTGATGCAGTCGTGAACACTCTCCGTTCTTCCCTCCGATTTGCTTACAAATACTGGGCAGCCAGACTTTACATGCCAGGCTCTTTATGAGCAATGTGAATTCTGAAGACACTCTCGCAGATTTCCGTGAGACGGCAATGTTCAAAGCTGATGAAAAGAAGGGAAATGAGCTGGCAAATCTGGAATTGGAGGCCTTGCAAAAGTATGTGCGAGGGGCATGGCTCAGAAGCCCAAAGGAGTTTTTCACCGATGTGGCAAGCTATTTCTACAACTCAGTAGTCCAGCCCTGCTTGCTTGTCAACATTCAGGACTGCAATGGTGAGCTGCGGCAGATGGCCAGCCAATTCACTGCAGATTTGGCGTGTGGAAAACTCAGCGAATTGGGCCAGCTGGCTGCAAGAATTGCAAAGGCCTCATGTGATGGTCGCCTGACTGGAAACCCTGCAGTGATGGGGCTGATCCTACAAGCCATGGACAGGTTGGAAAGAGACGCCCGGGGGGTAGAAAGTCTCAAAGGTGTGAGGAAGATGTCAGATTTGGAACGGAGCATGGTGAGTGAAGCAGGGCTGATGCTTGCCAGCAATAGCTGCAACAGAGAGCTCATGAAAGAACTGGGGTTCAACAAAGACAGGGTTCTCAGAAACCACAGCCGCGTTGATTCTTTGCTTGCAGATTCCCTTCCATGTCCGGCCCTAGCTTTGATGCACCCAAACATCTTGGACACCAATATGTCCCTCATTGACTCTTTGGAGCCTCGTTGTGCCGAGTCTGGCCAGAAGGATAGGTTTGTGGTATGTTTGGACTTCACATACCTTTTGCCAATGCGCACCAGTATGATTTTGCATTCTGCTCGAGGCATGGTCGGAGGGGCTTTCAGTTTAGATGATTGCGTCCAGGAGCATCCAGCATGCTTTCAAGATGTTGCTGCCAAGCAGGATAGGGATGGCCGTCTCAAAGCCAACAGGATGTTGGAGCTTTTGGTTTGGGATCCTTCTTCAGAGCAGAAATTTTTCTGGACCCCAATGTCGTTGCCAATCAACTTGAAAGCCTTGAACTCTGAGACCACAGACTCCTCCTTTGACCCTGAGTTTGCAAATCATTGGTACCATTTTCCTGCCCTGTATGTCCCTTTATAAAATGGTTCTCATCTGTGAAACAAGCAATGGTATGCAATGGTTTATCATGGCGGCATTCCATAGTCTTCTATGATATAATCTAAAACTTGGATGATTTTGGAATTCCCCACACTCAGTCCCTTATAAAATGCCCAAGCTTGGTCCTTATAGCATGCTGTAACCACTTTATATCATTTTTTAATTTCATAAGCAGGTCATACCCAGGTTTCAAAGTGTTTTGAATGATTTGTAGATATTGCTTGATTTTCTAAGGAGATTTTCCGTATGCTGGATGCATTTATGGTGCGTGCCTTCCCATTTGTGAAGCTGTTCGTGTTTGACGGTGAGTCATGCAACAGCGTGTTGCGGCATGTGATCCATGGCACAGCAGATTCAAGTACCCGGAGAAAACTCCTCTCTACGCAGTTCTTTTCCCAGCTCAACCATGCAAGCATCCCAGGGTTCGAGGCATTGCCTCGCGTGCCAATGAAGCATTGCACAACAGATGCTGGGAGGAGCCTCTATGCTTTGTGTGGTGCAGCTCATGCCATGAAGAATGCATGTGGTCAACTCATGTCTTCAGGCAGAGTTCTGTTCTTTGGGCACTATTTTGCTGACGCGTCAGGTGGGTTGGCCCTTGGATTACCACTTCCAGCCTTTGCCCGCAAAGATGCGATGAGCGATCGGCTGAGTGCACTCTTGTGTAACCCGCTCTTTCTACTGAGGGATGAAGACCCTAGTTTGCATCTATGATCATGTTGGAGCATTTATGGAATGAGAGTTTTCAATGGGCAAAAGGTGGAAACATAGATTAATCTAGGGCCAGACCATTTTATAAACAAGAGATGGGGGCTCATGGTCGCTTATTGTTGTTTATAAAATGCATGTTCAGTTCAGGCAAGGGGTGGCATATAGTTGCAATGGTGTTCTCATGTGTTCCCCGGGTATCCCCCAGTAAAAATATATTGTTTATCAAATTCATTTCATAGATTAACAAATGTTTTCTTTAGGGAGTCATACTTGGATAGACCATTTTATAAACCTACAGGGCTGGTTTGTTTTGTTATGTTTTGTTTGGATTTTGGCAATTTGGATTTATAAGATTCACTTTTGTTGAGCTTGTTTTTAAACCAAGGAAACTGAACAGAGCAAGACCATTTCATATAGCTGCATGGGGCATCAGAGTTTATTTTGTACACTCATTATCCATGATTTTGAAAGCCTGTTCCATGTGAGGATTTGCGTACGAAATCATGGAAGGATTTGACCATTCTTCCTCATCTGCGTGGATTTTTGCTATGGAACTTATCGGCTGCACTTTGCATTGTTTCCTGTCTTGATCAGAAACAAGTTTGGTTCAGTTTGTTGCGGTTAAAGAAATTCTTCTACCCCCCCTGAAAAAACAAATATAAACAAACACAATTTGCCCATCCATATTTGAGGGGTTGCAATGAGGCACCAGCTGTGTGCTCCGGGATGTCCTTGGAAGAGAGATGCGAAATTTCCCTGAGCGGACTGATTGTGCAAGATTTATGGAGGATGTTGGGTGCTCAAAAAGAGCAAAAGGAACGTTTGCCCAAGGGTCTGAGCACAATGGCCCCGCAGACGGTTCAGAACATGCAGCTGATCGCAATGACCACTGCCAACATTTGCGCAACAAAAGAGGACACCTTCCATCCATGGAAGGGCGCCGCCCACTCCTTGAGTGAGATTCACATTGAAGGAATGTTTGGACGGTACAGAGGTCAGTATCAGCATTCTGATTTGACAGCAAGAGGCTATTGGAATGCGAATGCCAGGGTAGCCAGACAGCAGGCAGCAAAGATGGCTCGATCCAAACCATCAGCCCCACATCATGAAAAGGAGCCACCACTGGATATCAAACAGTGCCTGGTTCTGTGTTTCTACAGATGTTTTTTTTGGTGGGAGTAGTTTCAGGACATGTTGTTTCTATGTTTTTTTAACAAATAGATACATTTATAATCATATATATATATGTTTTTATTATGTTCAATGTTCAACATTGTTTTCACCAATGAGTAGATTGAAAGCCAGAGTTTGGCATCCACCCGGGCAGAAAAACAAAATGGTTTAGTTTATACTATTGAATATTGGTGAATATTCTAGGGAAAATGGTGGGATTTGAAAACATTGTGCAAGGTTGAGAGCATGTGTGCAGCGCGCATTGAGTTCAGCGCTTCTCCTTGCATCCAAATGCAGTGATGTGCCAGTGCAAGACTTGGAGCGAATCTACAGGGTTGAGTCTAGAGTGGATTTCTTCCAATGCGAGGATGCTCCTTGTGAAGAGATGATAGAAGAATTGGAGGCGGAGGACCTTGAAGCTCAAGAGCAGGATGACCGCAAGAATGAAGTTTCAAAAGTTCTATCTCAAATCCAGGGGATTGCTGAGGAGGAGTTTGCAGACGACAGTGAAGATGCTGCTCGCCGGCCACAGCGAGATCCTGATGAGAGCCTTCCTGACGGAAAGATCCTCATTGACTTGACGGCCAATGACGACTCGGGTGACCCTGGTTTGTTCCCGGAGTTTCCAAGAACATTGGCCGAAGCTTTGCTCGGTGATGGAAACATGTGGGGGCGACTCTGGCAGCTGACAACGCACTTGCGCTGTGGAAAGCATGGCATGGATACCCTCTACTTGCGAAAAGCGGAGCAAATCCGAAAGAAGGCAACCAAAATGAATTGGCATCAGAGACTTGTTTCAACATTTGGGGGGAGATAGACTGAACTTTTGCAACTCCACTGAGAGAATCTGAAATTTATTGAAATATTTCTGATCTAGGATCATATGTCTAACTATGACCATTGTTTTTCTCCCCAGTATTTCCCCATTATCCGATTCCAAAAAACAGATACAGTGGCTCTTTACTTCAGACCTGTCAGGACCCTGGAGCATGAAAACAAGCTCTTGCGAGAGGCTGAGAATGAAACCATGTCCGGACAGCGCGCCTCGCGCATGGCAAGATGGATCCAGACCTCTCAAGATCTGCGTGCACATGCAGGTTTCAAAGACCCAGAGACCATTCAGACACTCGCAGTCATATCAGTTTATAAAATGAGATTGGGATGGTTTGGGTATGGCCATGGGTCAATGGTTTGATGATTTTCCATTTCATAAACATTGATAATTTATCGGAATAGCAGCCTTGCACCTGAGTACACGTGGAACCATCATTTTATAAACAACATAGCCTTTAAAATCATGAAAAAATACGAAACTATATCCCATGACAACAATGACTTGTTCATGAGCAACATTTATGAAATGCTAAGGCTTGTTGCTGACTTAAAAACATTGAAGCCAAACATTAGCAGAGCCATTTTATAAAACATATTTGTTGTATATGAATTCATATTTTCCCACATTCTACGAATCTGGTTTTACACATGCAGCCTTTTTTGGTGTTACATGAAAAAATGAAGACATTTCCTGAGGAGTGGATCCGTGGTAGCTTTGAACTTGGGAGATGGGCTTGCGCCGTGTGCTGCCATCATCTTGACATTGTGGAGCCTGGCAAAGAAACCAAAACCGTGTGGACAGGTTTGTACTGTCAAAGCTGCTCATGCCTTCAGAGCTGTCCTATTGAGAGCCTCCGATGACAATCCAGGAGATTTTGACACCACGCAATCTGTCAGCAAGTTCATTCCTGAGCAAGTGATTGCAATCTTGGATGTTGAGGATGGGGATCTGGCGGCTGGCAAGGTGTCTTTGACTGAGGCATCAAATATGGCATTAGCAAAGCTGATGGCTGCTGATCTTCCGGCCGTTCCAGCTCTTGCAGAAAGATGTGGGCGCCGTGGACGGAAGAGAAAGGCAGCTGCACCCACCACGGTGTCTTTCAAGCATGTCCACAAGAGACTCCGTGAACGTACCAAGGCAAAACATGCCGAGGGAAAAGCAACTGATCAGTTCAGTGAAAATACTTTTGTGCCTGCAGACTTCCGCCGATCAGCCAAGGGCCGAAAGACTATGGCCTATGCTGTGCAGAGATTGGTGGATTTGGACCGACTTGTTTTTTCCAATGCGCCATTGTTTGATCCCCGCACCAACATGTGCACTCACAAGGGGTTGGCTGACATGTCTGTACAGAGCTTAACAGGTCGTGTACCAATCGTTTTCCAGCAGCTATATTTTCAGATCCGTTCTCCCGAAGCATTCGGGGAGAGGGTGTTTTCTGATGTCAAAGCAATGTTTCAAGAATTGCGTGATGTACAGCCAGGACGCAAGAAGTTTATTGCATTGCTAAAGGATGTGAAGGCATCTGGCGGCTGTGCAAAGTTGCATGTGTAGGATTGTGTAGATAGAAGTGCACAGAGCATTGTAGGACAAGCATGGAAACATGGATACTTGAGCCGCAAATGAAGATGGCCCGAGCGCGCAATCGGAAAAGTGCCATTTGTTTGAGCTCTATGACGATGTGGAAAGAGCATTTTATAAACCCCTGGCAGTGGTTCACAAGTAGCTCTCTAAGATCTGGAAAGTGAATTTCATAAAGACAACCTTTGCTACCAACATTGTGATCCAACTTCCCTTTGACCTGCTCTGGATTTTTTGGGGTCATTTTATAAACACAGCGGCTTGTCATTTTATAATTGCCCACTACCTGGTAAATCATTTTTTAAACCCACTACCTGTATAATCATTTTATAAAAACCAATGACCCTAACATACATTTTATAAACGACCATCTGTGTATAGAATGGCTGGCAAAGGTGGCTATCGGCTTAATCATATTATAAAACCAATGACCCTAACATTTTATAAACGACGAAACATGGATACTTGAGCTGCAAATGACGAGGAGCCCGAGTGCACGATCGGAAAAGTGCCATTTGTTTGAGCTCTATGACGATGTGGAAAGAGCATTTTATAAACCCCTGGCAGTGGTTCATAAGTAGCTCTCTAAGATCTGGAAAATGAATTTCATAAAGACAACCTTTGCTACCAACATTGTGATCAAACTTCCCTTTGACCTGCTCTGGATTTTTTGGGGTCATTTTATAAACACAGCGGCTTGTCATTTTATAATTGCCCACTACCTGGTAAATCATTTTATAAACCCACTACTACCTGTATAATCATTTTATAAAAACCAATGACCCTAACATACATTTTATAAACGACCATCTGTGTATAGAATGGCTGGCAAAGGTGGCTATCGGCTAAGCATGGAGGATGTTTCTGCAAATTGTGTTGGTTTAAGAAATAGTTTCTGTAAATTCGGTTGATTTAAGAAATGGTTTCAAATAGTTTCCCAGCTTAGGGTTGATTTAGGAAATAGTTTCTGTAAATTGGGCTTATTTAAGAAATAGATTCTGGCCTCCACAGACAAAGAGGCCAAGGCACTCCCCAATACATAATTATAATTATATATATATATAGTTATGTATATACATTATATGCACGTTTATCATTCGTACGCATAACAACATTGATTGTTTTGGCAATTGGGCCTTAGGTGTGCTGCAAATGCCTTGGCCTCAAAAGATGTGTTTTTTCTTGGCACCAGATCAAAAGATTTAGGCGATTCTATGCAGGCACTCCTCTTGACCTCCATTGATGTGCTGTTCTATCATATGATACTTCGGACGAGCATTGTCAGTAACTGTTTTCTTCGTCGCAGACATAGGCAACATCGAGAGATTTTAGTTTGTTTCGGAGCTGGATCTCTCGTGTTCTTGACGGCAGTTCCTGCAGAAATGCGGATGTTTGACTGAGTTGCAGCCAAATGTGGTGACCTACAATACATACATCAGTCTATGTGCACAGGCTCCTGGGGTTCTGGCCAAGCTTGTCAACATAAAAATGGGATGCATGTTGCACTGGCTGGTGGCTGGCGGGATCTAGCGAGTGTGCTCACGGATTTTTTGTTTGAGGATGTACATTGGACATGTTGATTTCAGCACGGCTTTGGGCACCATTTAAGTCAGATGAAATTTGCCACAAGATTCCTACAGAATCCGTACGTATTGGTCTAACCCACATGGGGCGCATGGGGATCTTGTCCGCTCAGCTCTCAAAGACAGGTGCTCCGCTGGCGTGATGCAATGGCTTCATTTGATCGTATGCAAGGAGAGAGGCTGAGGCACAGTTGGGGATTTAATGATTTCGGGTGGGATGGCGGTGGTGATTGGCGAGCAGCGTGAGTGATGCATTGGAAAATCTATGTATGCTCCTATTGGTATTCTTGGTCAATGCTGTAAGGACAGGGAAGAAGACCCTATATAGAATCAGAAATGTTCATGAATATGCTGTGAAAAATACTGATGTGATCCAATTGTCCAAAGGAGAACACTAGACTTGCCAGGCCTTCCGTGGTCTCTTACGGTGCCTTGATCACCGTGTAGCTCTTATCATTTTGAAGAGAGAGGTGCATGGTATTCTGTTTATAAATGCATCGGATGATACGTGCGAGCAAGTTTGAGGGCTTCAAGTTTTTCCAACACCTTGGGAAGCATTTGTTATTATGGGTTGAACGATTGGATGCCTCAAATACCCCGGCGAACCTCCTGCAGTAGGATCTTGCAGAACCATCATATGGATGGTCTGTACATAAATTAATCATAAATTCAAACATCTACACAAGCAACTCGCTCCAGAATGACGGTGTCATGAGGAGCGGATAGCAAACCAAAACCGCGCCTTCACCCATCGGCGCAACACTGTACATGGCGAAGTGCGATCACAACTTCCTTCAGCACCATTTCCTCAAGTTGGACCTAACTCCACTAGGAGGGACTCGAACCCTCAACCTGTCGATGTGAGGCACACCGGGCAGCCTGGCGAACCAGACTTCACTGTTACCCAAGGTAAAAGTCGAAGACGCCACTTTCTCCCTTAGCATCGGCCAGTCCAACTTTAAGTGGAATCGAACCACAAGCATAGCAACCCACTCCAGTGCATGTGAAAGAATTGAACTTTCCAGTTGCTCGATGCTCACGACCAAGGTGGAGCCGTCGGAGGTATTTGTATTCAGGTATATTCAGGTTAATTCCCGCCGCCAGTGCCGGGTGCAAACGTTGCCAACCCGGCCCTGGCGGCCCCCCCCCCCCCGAAGGGTTTGGGAAGCATTTGAACACTTGCAATTCGACTGTCAAGAGTGGCAATATGTGTCCCTTCTTCATGGCCAAGGCTTGCGGCAAAGGCGACAGGCCTGAGAAAGTTGATGCCTTAATCCCATGAACGGAGTAGACGTCCGGAGCTTCTTTGTCTCTGCTTTTGGCAAGCTAACTTTTTAATTTTTAATGTTTCTTTGTACCAGCTCTTGTCAACGATTCTCGTTTCCTTAGAGAGTGAAGTTGAAGTTCAGCTGACTTCAACAGAGCAGCAGGCTATGCCTTTATTTGCCTTCCTGAGGCCTTAAGGCTCTTGAAGGAGCCACGACCTCAGTTGTTGTTTTTTTGCTATGTGCTCACCATTTTCGCTTGAAAGCATGCTGTGGCGTGCTTCAACCTTTCTAGAGAAGGGCGCACAGAAATTGCTAGGGCAGGTAGTAAGGCAAAGGGGAAAAGGTCTGTGGTAGGACATGCCTTTGTTGATGCATCAAGAGTGCACTACATCTATTCACTTTATCTCCCTATGTTTTTCTTGGTTGAATTACAACAGCATGATCAGCATGTAATGTTGCGTCCTGATTAGTGTGTGGCCCCCCCCCAAAAAAACTATTTCTGGACTCTCTTTTAAGTAGAAAGTCAAAAATTTTCTTCCCAAAAGAAAAACATATCCTCAATTAAGTAAGGATTTCAATTGGCTACAATTGAAATCTAATTACTATTGTTTTTTTTGCCGATGAAGTTGTGGTATTTGTAGTACTTGTAGTACTTGTAGTACATGTAGTACTTGTAGTACTTGTAGTACTTGTAGTACTTGTAGTACTTGTAGTACTTGTAGTACTTGTAGTACTGTAGTACTTGTAGTACATGTAGTACTTGTAGTACATGTAGTACTTGTAGTACTTGTAGTACTTGTAGTACTTGTAGTACTTGTAGTACTTGTAGTACTTGTAGTACTTGTAGTACTTGTAGTACTTGTAGTACGTGTAGTACTTGTAGTACTTGTAGTACTTGTAGTACTTGTAGTACTTGTAGTACTTGTAGTACTTGTAGTAGTTGTAGTATTTGTAGTATTTGTAGTACTTGTAGTACTTGTAGTACTTGTAGTACTTGTAGTACTTGTAGTACTTGTAGTAAGGGTTGGAAAGCTGTTCTTTAATAAGGGTTTAATAAGGGATTGGTTCTCTTGGGAAAGGCTTGGAGTTTGAATTTGGCAATTTTGGAAATGGCTTGCTTCCCTTCTGGGCTTCCAGGGGCTGCTCTGGCACAGCTTGCTGCAATAGTGAACCCAGCAAACAAACCTACTAAAGTGAAATGGTGCCTCTACTGGTCCAGGGCCTTGGAAAATTGTGGGAAAGCTGTTCTTTAATAAGGGTTTAATAAGGGATTTAATAAGGGATTGGTTCTTTTGGGAAAGGCTTGCAGTTTGAATTTGGCAATTTTGGAAATGGCTTGCTTCCCTTCTTCAGGGGCTGCTCTGGCACAGCTTGCTGCAATAGTGAACCCAGCAAACAAACCTACTAAAGTGAAATGGGGCCTCTACTGGTCCAGGGCTTTGGAAAATTGTGGGAAAGCTGTTCTTTAATAAGGGTTTAATAAGGGATTGGTTCTTTTGGGAAAGGCTTGCAGTTTGAATTTGGCAATTTTGGAAATGGCTTGCTTCCCTTCTTCAGGGGCTGCTCTGGCACAGCTTGCTGCAATAGTGAACCCAGCAAACAAACCTACTCAGATAGAGATGCATTTACAGGCTCAGATAGGGAGATTTGCAAAAAATTGACTGAGCTACAGCGTTTTTGAGAAAAAATGCCTCTCAGCAATTACAGTTTTTTTTGCAAAAAAAAGGGCTCTCCCAATTTTGTTTTGCCACAAAAGCGAACCCTCCAAACAATACATGAGTTTCAGAATAATTTGGAAAAAAATTGCCACAATAGCGACCCTAGGTACTAATCAGGACTCAACATTATTCTAGCAGGACTGAGCCCAAGATTGTGTTTTGCTTACTCCAGGGCATCATGATTGTCATTCTCTCACATGTCACTATGAGGTCTTTCTCAAGATTGGAACGCGTTAGACGAACAAAAAGTGTGTTTCCTGGAAATCTGCATGCTCTACCAAGGATGGGTGAGCAACGACTGGAGGTCAGTGTGCCAGCTGTCAGTGCAGTGCCTCTGACTTGTCTTCCGTCGTCGACACGTTTGAATCCTTTATTACAGTAGACTGTTTGGGCCGTTTGAATCCTCTTAAACATGTCCTATTTGTTTCCGCCATTCTGACATGCATGCTGTTTACTGCGGAATTCAATAATGTTCTCGCTTCTGACCCTTTGCTGCCGCTGTGGCTTTATAGATTTTATAGTGCTTTATGGAAAGTCCAATTGAGTCCACATTTGCTCCCCGCCCTGCGTGAACAAGCAGTGCTTCAAAAGTCATGGCAGGCAATCTCTGCTTGCGAGCGTGGTCATTTGTGGCAGGATTTGATATTGCAGACATTTGATGCCATTTGCATTGTCTACATCTACAATTTTCCTTTGCTTAGAATATTTGAACTCCAACCATTCGCATTTGCATTCGATACCGTTCGAGGGAAGGGTTGCTTTGTGTCAGATGGACATACAGAATGACCATTATACAAAGAAATAAAAACACTATTTTGTTTGGCTTCGGCCTTGTTCATGGCAGACTAGGATCAGACATAACCAAAGTGAAATCGCCATGATTTCTTGAAAACATCAGACAGGCATGACGGCACGTAAATCTAATGCCGCAGATATTTGAAGGATGCGGTCCAGCTCTACGCCTCACTACAGACCGCGGGGCGCCCCAATCAAACTCCACCAAGGGCGTGGGGCAATCAGTCCCCGCATAGATTTATAATGAGTTACTCGTGCGTGCCCACACACTAGACAAGAACTGGATCATTATAGTGATCCGTCGGGAACTGAATCCGATAACGTGCAATTAAACAAGATGGTAGAATAGGTAATGTCGATTCCATGTATTACTGTAAAACCAATTCTCGTCAAGGACTCAAGGACCATGTTAACGTTCAGGGTTCTCGGCTTAGCCCTTTGCCATGTCGATGAAATGAATACATAGAATAAATACATAGAATATCGCCAGGTTCGAAGAAACAGGCGAAACCGAAAAAAAACGTGGAGGGGTTCTCGGATTAGCCCCGTGCAACAACGGTCAAAACAAAATCATTTGCAGGTACGTGGAGTTGATCAGACTCCATATCACCACGAGCTGACAGTGTCTTCTTTGGGAAGTGTCTGTCAATCGTGCACTGCCGCCCTGCCAGAGTAGTAGTTTTACAATGTTTTACATATGTTCAGATGTTACACACACACACTCAAATCTATCTATGCAATAAAACATCATATGTTTTTAGATATAGAATGATATAGTACGAACTAAAAATACAATGGGATACATAGATTATTTAATAGATGAAAGGAAAGACAAGCGTGTTTATTTTGTTTGCACAAGTTTTCCTAGGAATACCGTGAAACTCACCCTGCAGCCCAAAGTACATATATAAGAAGAACTTACTTGCAGCTTGCGGGTTCTTGAGGATCAGCGTCTTCCGGACATTACAGTCTTCAATGTCAGAGCCTGAGCAGCGCCAAAAACGGTCAAGGCATGCTAAGGATATGTTTAGGTAACTTTGCAGTTCGTCCACCTTAGTACCATTTTAAAGATGTCTTTAGGTTAGGGTCGCACATCACATCAGCACCTTTGCATTGGATTCCGCAAGATGCATCTAGATGAAGCTTTTTATCGGTCTATTGATTACCAGTAGCACCCGCACGAGACGGGGCGGAAGTTGCCTTAGGGTTATACTATTAAGACCTATTTCATCTATATAGAACTCGCATGCGCCGTGCGCCAGCCAGGCCCGTGCTTGCGTGCGTGTGCGACAGCGATGCACTGTTCCAAAGGTCGCACTTGAATCTCCACACTTCACATTGCACTCTTCACACTTCACACTTCAAACTTACACTTCGCACTCCACACTTTATCTCCTCTCATCTCATTTGAACTCTTCTCACCCCATCTCAGCTCTTCTCATCTCATTGCATCTCTTCTCATATGTCAGTATATTTTTCATTTCATCTGAGCACTGCTCAACCTTTCCCATCTCACCGAAGCTCTTCTCAACTCATCTCAGCTCCTCTGCACGTCAGAAAGTTTTTACTGTCAGAGAAAAGTCTCTTGCATACAAAAGCCGTTGCGCGCACACAGTTTTTGCACACAGAAGCTTGAGACGCAGATGCCTTTACACAGAAAAGCTTTTACACACAGCAAGTTTTTACACAGAGAAGCTTTTACACAGAGAAGCTTTTACACACAGAAGCTTCTACACACAGCAAGCTTTTACACACAGCACGCTTTTACACACAGCAAACTTTTGAACACAGCAAGCTTTTACGCAGAGCAGCTTTTACACAGAGAAGCCTTTAAAGACAGATGCGTTTACACACGGAAGCTTTTACACAAAGATTTTTTTACACACAGAACCTTTTACGAACTAGTTTGCGCAAAACATTTCCCAGTTCTACTTTGTACCAAGGAGATTGCGCAAACCACTTCATACCACTTCCCAGTACTATTTTTACTACAAAGGTTGCACAAACCACTTCCCAGTACTACTTTAGTACTAATTACAAAACTTGCACAAAGCACTTCCCAGTACTACTTTGTACTAAAGGCCATGGACAGAGTACTTCCCAGTACTACTTTGTACTACAACGCTCGCAGAAAGGACTCCCCAGCACTACTTTGTACTTCAAAGCTCGCAAGAAGTATTTCCCAGTACTACTTTGAACCACAAAGCTTGCACAAAGGACTTCCAAGCACTACTTGTATTACAAAGCGAGTCCCATGCAACATTTTGCAGGCATTATTCATTATCTATCAGCCATTCTAGTGTTGTGTGATGTGTTGTTATGTGATGATTGTGATGTGTGATTATGTGATGTATTTTTGTGTGATGTATTGTTGTGTGATGTATTGTTATGTAATGTATCGTGATGGGATGTATTGATTTGTGCTGTGATGTATTATTGTTATGTGATGTATTGTTTTGTGATATTGTTATCTGATGTATTGTTGTGTGATGTATTGTTATGTGATGCAGAGTTTCACATTTTTATTTGTCCGTAACTCGCTAGATTTCTTTGATTATTGACATTTTCCAAATGTATACTGTATGTTTTTTCATTAACTTTAAGATGGTGAATATTGTACTGTAATAATTTGGTGTCAAGAATATGCAAATGATACAGGCTACGATCAGTGCATGCGAGAAAGGCAGGGCACCGCACGTTGAGAGTTCTCCAGTGTGTGAAATGGGATGTGACGGTGGCGGGGCTAACAGAGAAAATGGAGTGAAAACCAATGAGTTGCACGCACACGGTTGTCCTGCAAAGGAGGAACTTGCGCAGCGTGGAAAAGTATCAGTCTTAGGGTGAAAAATCGATTTATTTTTTTAAATATTTAAAAAAACATGAAAAATAAATTAAGAAAACAACAAACTGCAATTTCGAATAAAAGCGGGTATATATGTCTAGTCTGTCAAAAATCGGGTGCTTGAATGGAGTTTGTTTGGATTTGTCATGTATGTAGTGTGCGGCATCCTTTACCCCCTAATTTCTCAAAGAACAAACCCAGCATTCTGCTGCGATGATAGTGCTCAGAGTGGCTCAATCGTTAGCCGAGACGGGTTTGCTTGGGAACGGTCTGAGAGCTAGTACGTAGTTAGTTCTTTCACCACAAATGACCCCATCTTCGCTTGCTGAGCTCTCCCAATGGAATCGCGCAATCAGCGCCTGCGCACGACAAACCCACTGGATGCTGTCTCTGCAACTTCGTATTGCTTTGGTGGTGGGATGATGATGAATCACTAAGTCTGGTCTAACAGAGTCTAACACATGAGCATATTATGATAGCATATGCCACCATATGCCATTATTTGCCGTTATTCTGTGGTGAGACATGAGAATGTTTTTTTCTCAAGTAGATGCCGAGGCCGCCAAGCTATGACGTTGGGTCCCAACACTTGTTGTACTGTTCCTCCTGCCAGCGCAACATATTGACCAAGCAAAGCACAGATACTATTTGTATATACGTCCCAAGAAAATCCCGCTCTTGCTGTTGGATGACACGGTGGTGCTTGGCTGAGCTGTCCAGGCAAATCTTCAACAAGTTACAGCATACACACGTTCGAAGTGACGTCATCACCCTAACGAGCGCCATCAATGCATGTGACAAAGGCAATTCTTGGCAGCTGGCGATTCATTCATTCTTCTGGTGGAGAGATTTTGTGGTTCCGAACGCCATCACGTGCACAACTTTGATGAGTGCTCTCAACACAAAGGCTGAATGGCAACAGTGCCTTTGCCTCTTCCAATTTTGCCTTGCAGCACCTTGACTGAGTCTTTGTTCATGGCCTCTGGTAGTTTATCACATGGTTTCACTGATGCTCCATGGCATCCAAAATTGTCTTATCTAAATTGATGGCATAGTAAACAGATTGAACATATTTGAAAGCAATAATATTCACAAGGCGAAGATGTGCGAATATGATATTGCATGATATTGCATGTGTACATAATATGTTGATATATTTTGTGAGGGCACCAATCCGCAAATAAGGCACGTTTTCAGGCCGATGCAATCTTGTTCAGTGCAGCCATCAATGCTTGCGCAGAAGGAAGTCAATGGCAGGAAGCTTTCAGAATTTTGAATTCGATGAAACCATGGAGACTCGCCTCTTGCGAAGCAAAGACCTTTTTATGAGTTTTCTAAATGTGTTGACGAATATGATGAAGAGCTGCTTTCTATTACATTGTGTTTGAGATGTTTTTAGTTTCAATTTGCAAAGTTTTGTTTGTCAAGCACAGGTCATTCCTACCGGACAGTATCATGATGAACGCGGCAATCAGTGCTTGCGAGAAAGCAGAAGAGTGGCAATGGGCCCTGCACTTGCTGGACACTTGTTCGCATGCTGCAAAATTCTGTTCTATAGGTCATGCTAGGTCATTCTGACGTGTCTGCGAACAGTGACATTGTTGAGCAAGTATGTTCAAAGTTGGTCAAAACATGTCAAAACCAAGGATTCCTTCGCAATGCTTGCTTTGCTTCCATGTGTGGTGTCCTTCGCGGCAGCAGCCAGTGCATGTGAAAAGGCTGCGCAGTGGCAATTTGCCTTGGAGCTTCTCAAGGAAGCCAAACAAGCCAAAAGCCAAACGAGGATAGACGTCAATTTGCTGCAGTGGTGTGCAATATGTGGTTGCAGCACTTACTGTACTGTATGCTGTTGTATGTCATTTTTAAAGATCCGATCCAACGTTGACTTGATTCTCGTTCTTGACTGCACTTTCTAGCTGCATGTCCGGTGTTGTCAGATGTCAGCGGAACTGTAACAAAGGTCGAACTAGCCAAGAAGAGTCTCACCAATCATCACCAATCTAGTGCGAGAAATGCATGCATGTTTAGGTATATTAGTGTGTGTGTGTATATCGGAGGGGAATAGACTCATACACAGACATATATACCTAGAGACTCATGTATCCAAAATTTCGGGCGCATTCCCAACCTACAAAAAAATCAGGCGCAAGTCCACAAGAATGGCGCAATGTAGAAAACATGGCGCAATTCCACAAAAACGGCGCAATGGAAATTCTGCACGGGCAAGGACGGCGCAATCACGGGCAAAAACGGTGCAATCACTGGCAAAAACGGCGCATTCCAACACCAAAATCTAAAACCGATTTGTTTCCCAAAGAACGGCGCATGCCAAAAATTTCAGCGGCAATCAGATGAAACACTGTTTTGCTAGACCAGCATCAAAATTTTGATGCCGCTCGAGTCTCTAGGTATATATATATATTACTATATTACAAATAAATAAATAACATAACCTTCATAAAATGAACATGACCTTACATCCATCTATACTTATGATAGAAACCCCGCCAATTGCACATGATGCCAGAATAACAACAGAATTGAACGACAAATGCCTATCGCAGCCAGCGCCCACAACAACATCCCTTACAGCAACAGCAGGAGCATCAGCCCCAGCAGCATCAGCCGCAGCAGCAGGGGGACAAACACACCCACGGAAACTGGGTTGGACTCTTTCAGTCAGGTGACAGAAATGATCGATTAGTGTAATCAGGCGTCAGTTAGCCGATTTTTTGGTTCAGGTCATTATGTACAACGCTGCCATCAGCGCATGTGGCCGATGTAACCAGTGGCTCTACGCCTTGAACTTGCTGGCAGACATGGAGGCCGTGAAAGTGCTACCAAGCAGCGTGACAATGACCCTCGGCTTTTCTCTCTCAATGGTCTAAGGATGTCTAAGGCACATGATAGTTTCTTTCAGGCAAATTTATCTTGTCAGGCGTGCATTTTCCAGATTGATGCGTGTGTTGTTTTTTTCAGATCCATTTGACACTTGCAGGAATGCGTGCATTACAGCTGCGCCAAACTACCAAGAGGCTATAGATTTGCTGGGAAGCATTGAAAGCAGGTCTCTAGAAGCCGATGTAATTGGCTACAACGCTGCCATCACCGCTTGCGAGAAGGACTATCAATGGCCCACTGATGCTTTGACTTGCTTATCAATATGTTTATATTTATTGTCATTTCAATATGTTTCTTCTGCTGTCATTTTGCTGATTGAAGTGGCCATTTTCAACTGTTTCAGTAATCGAATACATGGGCCTTGGATTTTTTTCAGTTCAATCCAGCAATGTGTAGATAATATATCTTAATTTTGTGATATGTCGTGATCAGTGGGAGGCTTTGCTTCTGTTGGGACATCTCGTTCACCGTACCTTAGAAGCAACTGTGGTTACCTGGACTTCTGCCTGCGCCGCTTGTGCGGCCTCTGGAATTTGGCAACATGCACTGACTGTACAGGCTGTACAGGATCTGAATGAACTTACCTTTGATGCCGCCATTCGCAGCTGTGCTGTTGCGCAAAAATTGACTCTTAGGAGATCTTGAAATAGCTGCTCAGTTCAGAGTGCTATTGATTTCTATGGTACCGCCGACCGCAATCACATCAATCATAAGAACGACTTGTTTGCATGCAGAGTTCTCACCTGGAAGATCTTGGCAGCTGATGTTTCAGCGAGCTGCAAAACTTGTTGAACTTGTACATGTCCTTTGTCACATTCCCCTGCTTAAGTGGCAATGACCAGCTGCTGACCTTGATCAACTCTGCAAGAATTTGCCAGGTGCAAAGTGGGAAGAAGCTCTGTGTTTCCTACAGGTGGGAAGTGCAAGACTTATTGGCAAGTCACTTGTCAATGTGCGAGGAGCTTCCCATGCAAGCACAATTCTGCGGTGGCAAAACTGCGGATTGATCACTGCAGTTCAGTGTTCCATTTGCATCCATTGGTACTGCATGACCATGCCTCACTATTGGCAAAGGGTGCTGGCAAAGTAAAACATGTGAAACAACATTTGCTCAAGTAGCTCTAGAGAAAAGCCGCACAATGTCAGGCATTGGACGCAGGAGCCAGGTTGCCTAGGGTACAGTCTTAGAGTCCAACGTTTTCATTGATGTTCTATTTAGTGCCACTGCAACTTGCCACCAGAACCTCGGTCGAGGTGTCGTTCATATCATGATTCAAATTTGTGTACACTGCTATATAATTATTGTAAATGTAAAGTTAGAAACCCAGACCAAGATCAAATTCTTGTTTGGATGGCGAAGGGCTTCAATTTGGAGTTTGGAGTGCTTACTGTTTTGTGAGGACATGTAGTCCATCCCGTGACAGGATGCAATGATCACTTTACTCTTGCTGCTATGATGAGTTCCCATTCCTCTTGAGCAAGCATTCCATACACGTCCCTACTGTGCCCATAGAACCTGCAACAAGGCCAAGGACTGCCCACGTCCTGTCACTATCACTTACAATGCAGTGATAAGTGTGCGGAAGCCCAATAAATTGAAACACATCGGGCAGAGGGTCGTGAGATGGCTGGGCTTGGCCTGAGCTGAAGTTGGGGTTATCAAGTCGAGAATCAGACAAAAAAATGCGGGCAGGTAGTCCATGATGATCGCCATTGTATCAATTGTTTAACCGTTTTCAGCGGAACTGCATCCCACAGGAAGTAGTTCTTGCGATCCTCTTAATTGGTTGATATTTCATGATATGTCCATATATTTCCTTTAGAGTCCCTGGAGCCCTGCCGGAGTGGCTAAGATAATCGTAGGAATATGGTGGGTGGTGGGCGTGCTTGCGCAGTGTGTATATTATGTGTGTGTGCTATGTTTGTTGAAGCTAAAACTTGGCAAGAGGAAATGCGTCAGGGCCAATGACCATACTGTAAATATCTGTAAATGCCATTCACAGCCATGCCGCTGCGCCAAGGCTTGTGGAAAGGCCTCTCGCTGGGACCTTTCACTCAGGCAAGTTCCACAATAGCCAAAACATCCCGAAACATTTGGAGCCAGTAGAGCCTTTGGAGTCCTGGAACATGCGAGAATGTGCATGTGTGTGGATGCGGACTCTGAGGGGGATTTTAAAATTTAACCGCTGCGATTAGCGTATCGCATCGTATCGCTGTGTCCGGCTGTGTCCATGCTGTAAAGCACCCAAGTTCTGCCCAAATTGCATTATATAATTATCATTAGTTAATTTGAATTATATAAATATGATCTGAATATATATATATATTATATATATATATTTGAATTGCAGGATTTTCTTGGGGTGGTTTGTCTTGCAGTCTTTGCGTTCTGCTTTGCATCAGGTTTTTAGCTCATTTGTGTGGTGAAGCATCTTACCCGAAGCCCGATGGTATCACTTTCAACGTGGCTCAGCTGCAGCCCCCAGGCCCCAGGGCTCCACGGGAAGTCAGTCAAGAAAATGCACGTAACTTAACAACTTAACGTATGTAACATGCATGTAAAACATGGTAAAACGGTAAAATGTAAAACTCATGTCATTTCCTGTTTTTCACTACACATTTCGAACCACTGAACTGTTTGAAGGGCTGAAAGGGATCAGGCCTCATGCGCAGACGAGACGCCTACTGGTACTGTACCAAGTACAAAGTCGGCTTAGAGGCTTAGATGAATCCTAGATACACTTGGAGCGTGATTCTGGCAGAGTCTGAGGCTGCCATCAACGCATGTGCTTTGAGTGCGGAGTGGCAACATGCGTGCCTGCCCAAGCAAGTGCTGCACGGCCATGCTACATAGTGTGGCCGTAGGTTTCGCATTGCTTAGGACTCCTGCTCCTTAGTGCTCCTTACAAAAATCACAAGAGATGGAAAGAGCGGGAAAAATATGGGAGAGTGATTACATTATTTGACACATCATGCGTGTGCATGACAGCTCGTAGTGCCATTGAAGTTTAAACACCGTGCTCCAGCTGTCACTCATCCATACAGACAACATTTTGTATGTAGAAAATGCCTGGCTCCATGTTTGAGTACAGTTGATTATTTTCCACGGGTAGAAGATTGCAGTTGGAACTCGCCGTAGATCTCCAAGGTTGGGCCTCTTTGCAAGCATGCAGACGTATCAGATCCAGTCACTCGCCAGCTTCAGCAAGCTTTGCTACCAGCAGAAAGTGACCGATGGCTTGCCAACCTGACAAAGTCATGCGTCATGAGTGGAAACCGGAAACCGCTCAAGCAATTTGGCAGACAAACATCTCAACATCTCAACGGACAAAGCACGCTTTTGGAAATCTCTTGAAGCTGCCTTGTAATTAAGTAGTCAATGTAGTCATGTTTGATGGACCTGAGGCCTGACGTCATTTCCTGTGGCTTAGCTGCATGAATCGATGCATGCAGAAAGAGCGTTGCAAAATTGTTGGGTGAAAGTAGGCTGAGCCGGTGGCCCAGCATTTTTACCGGAGTAGAGTAGCTAGAGTAGCGCGGTCAGGGCTTGAGTTGTGGGGGTGTGGGTGGTCGCATGCCGAAATCTTACCCTATATATGATTTGTTAGTATGTTAGTATCTATGTGTACGGGCGTGCGCGTGAAGAGGGTAAAATTGTGTGCCTATGGTTCAAATGTTTGATTGCTTACTTGGCTATTTAAGACAGCTGTCCACCTTTTGGATCAACCTGGACTCTAGCAAATGCATTGTGTTAATTGTAGCTGGTTTGCCGGGCTCGAACGCCGCATGCAACAGGCAATTCTCTACTGGCAGCTTTGGCGCAAGGCGACCCTGAAAAACTCCACCAGTTTCATCATTTTTCTCATTTGTGTTTTGATGTTAAGATGTCAGGAGTTTGCGCTGGGACAAAGTGATGTAATTGTTTTTGAGTGTGCCTTAGATTTTGTGCAAGCACTACGAGGATACGATCAAGGGCTGGAAAAGATGCTTTGCAGGTAAGAACATTTACTGTATATAACGCGTCCCACACCCAGCTTTGCATAACACGCACATTTATATATGTGATTATATGTGCATAAAATAATGAGAGATTTACTGGAAAAATGACCGAAAGCCAAAGTGAAAGCCAGGACCTTGGCAGAATTCCTTGGATTTGTTGCAGCAGATGCCCGCTTTGGTGGTTGAGTTGCTTGGCTGCGAAAGAGGGGTATATGGAACATCAATGATCATAGGACATGACCTTGTCAGATCTCAGATCTTATCAGGGGAGCTAGGTGTAAGGCGATGAGAAGCGCTTGGAAAAACTACGTATAGAGAAGCAATGAGAAGCACAGAGAAAACACCAAAGGGGTTCCTGCAGCGCTGGAAGCAATGCAGAAGCTTTTGCGCATCTTCCAGTTCACTGTGCCCGTGAAATCGGCTGAGGCCTGATCAGCTCACCTTTCGCCTGCACCTTAGATGGCAGACTTGCCGGCCAGGTAACATTTGTTGCTTTTGTTTGCCAGTGTCTCTGCGTGTCTCTTGTTGGTTCAAGTTTCTTGAAATTTCCTGTTTTGCAGACGGTATGTGAGACTTTTGTATAGGAAGTGTGTTGTGATTTTCGTTGATTTACAATATGTTCCATGCATAGAAAGACATGAAGCATGATTTTAAAAAATGCAGCGCCCAATTTCAAATCCGAAGCGGGTTCCTGAAGCTCGGCTCAAGATGTGAGTTCCATACGGTCAGGCCTTCCTCGCGTTTCTTGTTGTCAAATGCGCTGGCGAATGCTGGTCATGATCCTTTGGAAAGTTTTTATTCTCGACCCGCAGTCAACATCAGTTTTTATTCTCAGCCCTGTATGATCTCCACACTGGTGACCAAATTAAGTCCAATCGGGACCGGGGAACTTCTCCGTCTCCAGTAGCAAACCATTTTGCAAATTTTGGGGTGACATACAGGATGGTTCAAACAAGCACAACCTCAGTTTGAGGTCGACCTGACTGAGGTTTCATGGCATACAGCGGAGCTCTTGTTCTCACATGGGCATGCTGCTTCTCTTATGCTGGATCAGTTTCGCCCCTGCTGCGAAGAGCGATTGACAGCAAAGGACAGGGCCTATGGAAGTTTGAACATGTCTCAACTGCTGTTCCCTAAGGGCTGGAACATGCTGGAATGTTAATTGGGTGTGGAGGAATGGCAATGACGTTGATAGGTGTTGGGCGGCGCAGTGTGTTCTTTTTGCTCTACAATCCTGTTTGTTCCCAGATTCGGCTTTTCGAGGCGTTATCTCCTGGCGTGTTGATGTTTTTTTTTCGTGAGTGCCTGCAAAGGAATTCCATGGAAAGTACCATTTCTGCCTGTTGAGTTTTACAACTCAATATGTCGGCATTAGCGACTTTGAGAGTCAATTTGGAATTATAGTTGTGTGGCATGTCTTGGAGTCATTGCAGTAGGCATTTTCCTAAGACACAGCTTCTATGCCTTCTATGCTTTACCTGGTATCCTTCTGGTCCCAGTCTATATCTATTAGGTTCACACACCCATAGTACCTATATAATATTATATAATTAATTGTTTCATATTGTTTCATAGCTTTGTCATGCTTTGTCCATAGTTGCACTGGTGGAGCCGTGGAGCTGTTGATTCTAGAAGCCCCGAGCCGTTTGGTGCCCTGTTTCGGCGTGTTCAGTTTGAAGCGTTGGGAGGCACTTGCAGTGCTGAAAGATTCAATCATATGAAATAATTATATGAAACTAGGAAAGCCCCATGAATACCTAAACAAATCCTCAGGCAGTTGCAATGGACAGGCACTTTCAGAATTAGAGATCCACGTCAGCTTTCCCTGAGATTTGTGACAGGAGAAATATCAAGTGGGCCTGCTGAACCGCAGACAAATGTGACAAACCATCCTGGAAATCCCGTTGTGGATCTTCTCGTCATCATACCCAGCAGTGTCAAAGAATTGGACAAACGAGTTGCTGTGCGCCACTCCTGGGGAAAGTACATTGATTCCTTTGGGCACTGCAAGAGGTGTAACAGCAGTCGGACTGTCAAAATTCTTTTCGGAGTTGCAAGACCAGCAGAGGGCGATGCGGGAATGGTTGAACAAGTTGAAAAGGAAATTGAAGTTTTCGGAGATTTGGCAGTGCTCAACCTCGGTGGGCAGGCTGATCATTACCGCAACCTCACAACAAAAGTCAGGAGCTTTCTTGAATATGCCTTGCAGCACTTTCGCTTTGGACTGCTACTGAAGGTGGACACTGACTCCTTCGTTTTCATGGATCGATTTTTATCCATGGCAGAGCAGAAGAAGTTGTTCCACCCTGACACCAACTCAACCAATATTTATGGTGGAGCTTTCCAAAGTGGTGCCAGGCCCGATGAAAATCCTGCTGGCAAATGGGTAGACCGCACCTACAGAAAGCTGACTGGCCACGAGCTCTTTCCCAAGTACGCCAGGGGTGCAGGATACGTACTGAGCCCCCCTCTGTGCAGATACATTGCCGAGGGCCTTCCCGGCCGTGATTCCGGTGATGGTGACATTGACTCATCATGGAGTTTACTTTGTATTGGATTTGGATTTGAGCATGAAAGGCTCGTACACTTGACTAACTTGCTCATTAAGCTCCCAGGGATAGTCATAGGCTATACAGGTGGCTAAAGCCGTTAGCCTAAAGTTAAAGATGAGAGTGTCTCAGGATGTCTCAGGTTCTATCGTTCAAGGGATTGACTCAGTTAAAATTGCTTAAGATGCTTGCTGAAAATTGACATATTCATAGTTATTTTAGGTAGGCCCAGGTAGGCTTTTCCAGAAAAAGGATGTTCTTTGTGACTGATCATCGCGCTTCCCACCAGGAGCTTCCTTTCTTTTTTCTTATCAATTCTGTGCAAGCTCAGGCGATGCATGGGCTGGATTTCCTGAGCTGCAGCCCTTGCCCAACGAAGACGTTTCGGTGGGTTTCTGGCTGGAACCCATAGTTCATGCGAAGGCAAATATTGAAAACAATTTAAAATGATATAAGAATATATAAAGATATTGAAAATGAAACATGGACTGTAACATGTTTTAACATGTTTTAACACTGTTGATGTACAGGATTCCAAAGAATCAGATTTTGCCGAGAAGCTAAGATTAGTTGACCACATCACAAAATTGGTACATGAATTCGCTGGGAAGCTGTGCGCCGCTTTGACCAGGTGGAGTTGCCCATCTCGCATTTGCCAATTGGGTGTCGAGACCGGAGCCAGATCATAGACCACCACGTGCTGTCCAGACTGATGGCAACACGTTGGAAAAGCTTGGAAGAGACAGGAGATCCATGCAGTGCAGCTGCGGTGAGTGAAGAAACCTTTGAACAAGTTCTGACATCTAAACTTGATGCTCTGAATTACAGTGGCAGCATTTGATTACAGAGAGATCAGAAAGTCGGTTGAACAAAGAGGCGTCATGGGCGTTTGAGTTCTTCAGGGGCTTACTTAGGGTACCTTCACTATAGCATTGAATGACCACGTCATGCACGCCATTCAATTCATGCAGATCGTTTGCTGGATGAGATTTCATCACCCCATCAGAACACCACTGGTTTTTGAATGTTTTTGAATTATACTATTATAATATTATATAATGATATGTAATGTGCGCGTGGGCTAACTAGCAGCAGCATCCTGGCCCAGCACACAAATACAAGTGCACAAGTGCTGACCAAACTCATGTCGTGTATTTTGCAAATTTTGGGAGTGTGGAGTCGGGATTCCCAAAGCAAGCCCACAAGCGTTTGATGGTGGGAATGTATGGGTTGCACATCTGCTGGCCTACCAGTAATCATTCAGGATGTAGGATGTCATTCTGCTGCGTGATGGTGCAGTGGATCACAGTTTAGATGCCCTGAAAACCTGAGCGCCCTGTTGTACGCTTGGTCTAGTACGATTTGTACGGTAACCGTAAGACCTTCACGGATTGGATCCCAGGAAACGTGAGCAAGCAACTGTGATGGTGTCCATATATGTCCAGGCACATGACGTGCCTTTACTCCACAGAGCATTGTTTGATATGTGATGTGTCTACTACGTGTGTGTGTGTGTGATGCGGTGCTCAGTCTATATAGACATACTGTTGACATACCAGACATTCTCGGATATCGACGGGGGCGCTTTCGCCCAGTTTCACCTTGCTAAAGTACAGTAGCAGCCCTGAGTGACGACTTGGACTTAGCCAACTTGGTATGATGTTTTGGAGGGACTTGGGTTTTGATTGTTTGGTTTCAGCTCAGAATGGTCTGAGGAGAGGCCTTGATAACATGTGCGAGTGCATCAGAGTGGCAGCACGCGCTGCAATTGCAGGATGGAATGGGATCAGGGAATGTTTGAGATTTGACCATGTTGCACTTCAGCGATCTTCAACGTAGTTCACCAAGCAAAGAAAGACTTTGTGATGTTCAGAGCGAGAGGTCAGACAGGAGCTGTATGTTGGGCAGTTGTGCTTGGCTAGTTGTGCATGTGAGGCTTTCTGTGCAGTGAGATCTGCATGCGGTCTTTTACTGCACAAACAAACAACTCCCGCAAATTGCATTCAGATGCATCTGAATATATTCGCAACATGTATCGAACTTGTAATCAAATGCAGGCACCTACGGTGACATATGGCAATATGGTGACAGTGTGTATGTGTGTTATATTTGCATACACCACCCAAGAACAGAGGTGCAGGGTCCTATGAATTGCACCCAGTGCGCTTCAGGGTTTAGGTGCATCGTCACAGCCAGTTGCTGCATACATTTCAATCATACCGGAGCTCAATGATTTCACTGAGACTTCCCTGTGGAGTGATCGCCCGCCAGGAAAACATGCGGCACAATTCCACCCAAGCAGATATAGCAAGTAGCTCGGCCACAAAATTGGGTTTCTGCCCTTGTACCACTCAGCATGTGCCTTTTTCAGGCTTGAATATATTGTTAAGCTGCGTTAACCTGCAATAGCTGCAGATGTTCAATTGGTAACCTCCAAGCCTTGGCTCCAGCAAAACTAATTCGCTGCAACCCTGACGTTGCGCCGCGTCTGACTTCAGGTGGCTATGAAGATAAAGTTGATGTTTATTACCCCAATCAACAACATATTGTTCATAGGGGGTGGCGAATTTTGATCCCTCATGAAGATAAAGTTGATGTTATTACCCCAGTCAACATATTGTTCTGAGGGGGTGGCGAATTTTAATCCCTCATGAAGATGAAATTGATGTTATTATCCCAACCAACATATAGTTCATACGCGGTGGCGAATTTCGATCCTTCATGAAAATAAAGTTGATGTTGTTATTCCAATCAACATATTGTTCATAGGGGGTGGCGAATCTTGATCCCTCATGAAGATAAAGTTGATGTTGTTACCCCAAACAACATATTGTTCATAAGGAGTGGCGAATTTTAATCCCTCATGAAGATGAAATTGATGTTATTACCCCAGTTAACATATTGTTTTGAGGGGGTGGCGAATTTTAATGTGATGATGATTATGATGTGGTGATGATGATGATGATGATGATTATGATGATGATGATGATCATGATCATGATCATGACGATTGTAAGTGTGGAGCAACGTCCGGGTTGGGGCGAACTAATTAATTTCAACCGCCTAGCCTAGATTTTGTGAAACGCGTATCAGTTGCATAACTTTGTGCACTTTAATTGCCCCTTTCCGACACCTGTTAGAAACACAGCGGGTTGCTCAGGCCCCTTTGAATTTTCAGCCTTCCTCTGACACCTTGACCATTTCACCATCATTTTCCTAGACAAAGATGGCAATATAATGTGATACAGTAATATAGTATAATAAAATGATGCAATGATTATATTACATGTAATATATGCATGATATCAATGGTTGTGTACAAGTTTTGACGGTGCTGAGGCTACAGCGTTTTGCTTATGGAATGCACTCGCCTGAGCCGGGAGCGCACGCCCACTTGCTGATTTTCTTACGTTTCTTAGTGCTGGACGCCATTGATCCCAATTGTAGGCTTCATTTGGGATTCATTTGGTTTCTTCAAGTTTGTTCGGTTTCATTCATGACAGAAGATATGCCAGTCCAATCTTATATAGTCTTTAAGGTGTCGCGCATGCTGATCACCCCTCAATTGTGGGCGTTTTTGAGCACTACTATTTGATACTGGCGATGACCCATCCTTTTGGCGGCTTTTGTTTTGTTCTGTGAGACTCTGTGAGACCATGTCTTCATAAATCACGGTCAGCTCCCCCGCCCGCTTGTGCTGGCTGGACCTGACAGAATTGGACGATGCAGCGCCAAAACCCTCTTGGGCTACACTTAATGTTGTATCCTGATTAGTGGCTAGGTTCACTATTGTGGCAAGTATTTCCAAATTATTCTGAACCCATGTAATGTTTGGAAGGTTCACTATTGTGGCAAGAAATCTTGGGGGGTGGCATTTTTTTTGTTCAAAAAAATGTTTGTGTAAAGAACTCTGAACATTTTTTCTGAAAAATATTGTTTTTCTCCCCGTCCCAAAAGAATCAGACCGCTTATTAAACCCTTATTAAAGAACAGTTTTTCTACAAATTTCCAAGGCACTGGGCCATGAGAGGGTCCAATTCACTTTAGCAGGTTTGTTCTCAGGGTTCACAATTGCAGCAAACTTTATTTTTCTCTTTCTCTTCCTCTTTCTCTTTATTGCATGGTTGATAAAGAGAAAAATTTAAGGTGGAAAAGGTAACGCAATCAACATTCTGAACGCCACTCACTACAAGTACTACAAGTACTACAAGTACTACTGCCCTATTTGGTTGATTTTGGTTGCCTTCTCTTTTCACGAAACCGTCGGGCCTTTTCTTTGCGTTGCCTCAAGGTAAAATGATCCAGACATATCCAGATTGTTACTGCATGTAGCCGGCATTTGCACAGAGGACCACGTTTTTGATGAGAGAATCTGATCAACCGAATGGCAAAGGCATCCATTTGCATGGATCTATACATGTATGTATGTATAATATTTATATATATATATATATGTAACGATATGTATAGATGTGTATATATCCACATGATATCAAACGAGTGTCTACATCATTAAAATTAATGATATATATATATATATAAATATTATATATATTTACAGATGCATACAAAATGATCTTGGCCCGGCGTTCCTTCAACCCCAAAAGAGAAACCGACTCATAGACTACCTACCTCACAGGCCGAAGTCATGTTCAGCGCAGGGGGGTTTTGGAGAATGTTTCATTGGAGCACTGTTCAAACATGTTCAAACAACACATATCTAGTTGTTTGGGTGTCATGTGCATGTTGTAATTTTCTCGATGGTGTAATCTAGTAATCCATCTGTGCATCCAAGACTTAACCGTATATTGTATATATATATTATATTGTCAATATAACCTATTTGGACTATATGTGACTATGATTCAAAATATATTATTCTTTTCTTATAACATACTGTATATATTATATATATATATATTTATATCCAATCTCATCCTATATTAGCTTGCAGGTCAGCAACGTGACCTTCCAAACGAGATGGACTTGCTGCAGTCTTTGCCAGCTTTGGCTGAAGGCAATTTGCAATCTGGGGTTTGTAAAGCTAACTGTTGTATTTGTATCACACATCCGCAATTTGTGGTCGTTATCCTACTCTAGTTGACAACTTGTTCAGTGGAGCAGGAGTTTGCAACCGTTTCCTCAGTCACTGGTCAAGTCCGGACTCCTTTCCTGAAAGCAAGTCCCCTCTTCTTGCGTTCTTTACTTGTTCCTTTTCCTGTGGCGAAGACTGAGAACAAAAGACAAACGTTTGTTAATCGACTCTAATAACTAGACTCGATGTATGGGAACTTATTCCTCCATATTATTCATGACTTTCATGCGGTCAGAATGGCAGTGCATTGGATTGGGCTCAGAGATTGTAAGACCTGCAAGGCAGAAAACCAAGAATATCAAGACCTTCTGAAAGATCAGCTTCTGGCACTTGACATCCAAACAAAGACATGAGTTATGATCGTGCCTTGTCACATGCTATCACATGCCTTTGCCGCTGTCTAGATATGTCTCCCTCTTCATGCCACACACCGTTTGCTCAAAATGAAATGGCCTGGTCGCCATGGCCGAGCAACGCGTGCGCGAGCTTGAGCGCTTGTTGATTTACAAGGAGAGGGACTTCGAAGATTTTAGATAGGAGTTGCTGACTATTTGCAGATATTTAAGGGAGTGAGCATTGAGTTGCCCGGCTCCTGTCGTGTGTAGCGCCGGGCCATGAATCTCAGACATAAGTTCTTTCATGGCTTTCTTCACTGGCGCGCCAGGAGGCGGAGCTTGCCAGGGAGCGCGACAAATGTGAGAGAGCAAAGAAGAAGGCTCTGGCTTACGACTCAAGACTGCGTAAGGAAAGATCATATGGATTCATTTCGATTCATTCGGTATGTCTAGTCACTAGTCTTTGAATGTCGTTGAAAGAAATTGAAATGTCTTGTGAGATCTTGTGAGTCATTGGAGTCGATGCATCAGGATCATATATGTGAACATAATTTAACATTGCCAAGGCATGTCGCACGTCCACGCAGTTGTTCCTGTACTTGCTTGTGTTTAATTAATCTGAAAATGTCTGTAGTATACTCTTCCGAAATTATTGAAGCTTACAGCTTTACAAAGGAAGAGAGCTGCATTGCTAAAGCATGCTAAAGCTATGCGAAGGCGGCTTCAAGTTTCAGCAGGACACTGCAATTGTCAGTCTCCCCTCAAGCCGTTCGCTTCATTTTCATCATGTTGATGTGGAGCTTTAAAGCATGACGGTGGCAAGGTGACACAAGATTTTCTTTTCTTCGATCTTCAAGTTACGCCAGGAAAAAAGACATTTTGGTCATTGGGTGTTGACACGTTGCGACCCCGGAGGTTCGCCAGCTGTTGGCCAAACTGTCAGAGCGTGATGGAAAGATCGCCGAGCTCACTCTAAAGCTGGAGGCCAGATGTCATATCGGAGCAAAAGGATTTGCGGCTGTTCCCACCTAGATGTTTCGCGAGCCCATTTGCATCATCAGAAGTAGGCACGTTGTACTTTCAAGTGACAAGCGTCATGAAGTTATTCTGTACACTGCGGGCTTTTTCAGAGAGTTTGACGAAGAAAAGGCTGCATTACCATAATACCTGGTTCGTTGCATTTCTCACACGCCACATGACCAATGCAGAATCCGCATGAATCCGCAAGTTGTTGAACGGTTGTTGGTGTTTGTGGAGCCCCAGGCAAAAGCTAGCAAATCGGGGAAAGATCCTGGACGGGTTGCTAAGCAACGTGCACAGAGCCTCGGCAACCATCTGCATGTGGCGCAAGGATTTGCAATCCCAAGTCTTGGCCCGCTCCCCGATCACTACGGGCCTAACAACATTGAACATTGATGAAAATTGTGAGTTGCTTCATCCAGATTTTGTAATCCTTGTCAATTCAACAGATTCTTAAGTTCATCCAACGATCAAGCGTGGACTGTCGCAGACTGAGACGAGCTCCGTCGAGCTCCCATCCAGGGGACTGGTTTGCGGAGTTCTGGAAGGTTCATGAAACTAGCGGCTATGGTGTTCTTGTTGGTCAACGAAGGGTAGGTACTCAGCTCGCAAACAGAACCAACATGTACCAATACTATAATATACAAAATACTAATGCAATGCCATTGCTTGTTTTTCCCTTGAAGACTTCAGGATTGTGGCGCAGCTAGAAGAGCACTTGGCGCAAATGCAGCAAGATTTGCAGCTTGGCAAAATTTGTATTTTTTGTTTCGATATGCTTAGGGAATTAGGTGTGACGCTGTCATGCCAGTCGTTCAAAGTGACTCCGTGAGTGATTGACGCCACGAGCTTGTCAGCATTGGCTCCACAGAAGTGTGAGCAGCTTTCTGGGGTTGGTGGATTCCTTTGACTGAATCAGGTTGAATCATGTTGAATCAGTTCTTGTGATTCTTGGCTGTCATTTTCTCATGCCGTATGTGCAGGGATGTGCAGGGTAAGGTTGAGACAGCCCACGTAGGCACAATGAGACAATATGTGACACAACATGGGAAGAAAGATGCAACAAGTCAAAGTCCACCAGTGCCGCTCCGAAGATTTTTTTTTGCTCAAGTCGGCTCCCAGGAAGGACACCTGCGTTGGTAAGATGGCGACCAGTCGCATGGTGTTGGCGACAGCGGCAGTCTCTGCAGGCAGCTTGGCATTTGTGATGCCAAGTCAAAGTGCAAAGAGCACACCGAGCACACCATCCTTGAGGACCTCAGCTGCCGCCTCAGTGACCTCAGCATCCTCAGCTTCCGGCAGCACTTTGGGCGTTATCGGAGCCGCAGCAATTTCCACAGTCGGGCTGACCATGGTGCGTCAGGGCAGACGTGCAGCCGCACGACAAGCAGTGGGCGTGTGCCTTCCACTGACAGAAAAGTTTGACCCACTGGAGCTTGGCAACACAGATGCTAAGATGGATCGCTACACTCAAGTTGAGATCAAACACGGCCGTGTGGCTATGATTGCTACCATGGGGTACATAATGCCGGAGATCTTTCGCTTCCCCGGATGTGAGGCGTTCAAGCATGGGCTTGGTGCCTTTGAGTCCATTCCTGTGGAGGGCTGGGTGCAGCTTGTGGCTCTAGTGGGCGCTCATGAAGTCTTGGTGAAGCCCCGAGAAGGTGGACTGGGCGCATACGATTTCGGTTTGGGCACCGAGTTGTTGGATGGCATTGACGCGGAGGAGCTGGAGAGAAAGCAGACTTCTGAGCGCAACAACGGCCGTTTGGCGATGATCGCCATCATGGGCCTCATGGTGCAGGACGGCATGTTTGGAGAGCCTCCCTTGACCTATATGCAACTCAAACTTAGTCAGCATGTCAGAGCCGTTTTTCTTCACGAAGGAGTGGTACAGTATGGTACAGTAGTCAACTCAAATCATTGTGGTTGCCCTAGAGGGAATTCATGAGGCTTCCATTGTGCTTGTTTTTTTCCCCATGTTATATTTGAAGAGGATATTGTCTTGACATTTGATTGTATTCCCGCACAAGGCGGTGGCGGAAGTTTCAAGGATAGGCATAGGATAGGAAACTATAGTACTAGGAGTGATTGGTTGTTGTGAGTCATGGATGGCAGAGCGAATCCACTGATGGACCCGACAGGTGGTTGGAGTTGTGTTTTTTGGAATGGTTGCAATGGTTGCAGTGGTCACCTTACCACAACTGCTGGATGTAGTGTGGTGTAGTGCAGTAGTTGTAGTTGTAGTTGTAGTGGGGTTGATGTTGTTGAAGTTGTAATGTTGTAGTTGTGGTTGTAGTTGTAGTGTAGTTGTAGTAGTTGTTGCAGTTGTAGCTGTAGTTGTAGTGGCACTTGTACTTGTAGATATTGTAGTTGTAGTAATTGTAGCTGAGGTTGTAGCTGTAGGTGAAGCGCAGTTGAAGTTGTAGTTGTGGTTGTCGCTGTAGTTCTTGTAGTTGAAGTGTAGCTGAAGTGCGGTTGAAGTTGTAGTTGTATTGTAGTTGTAGTCGCAGTTGAAGTTGTAGTTGTAGTGTGGCATAGCGCAGTTGCAGGGGTCAATCTATCAACCGATCTATCTATCTATCTATCCATCTATCTATCTATCAATCGATCTATCTATCTATCTATCTGCCTGCAAGTTTGAAAACGAAGCTATTCTGCGAGACCCCCTCAATTTTTGAATTTGACAACCTCAAAAAACGCAGCAATTCTGCGAGACTTCCTCAACTTTTTGTGCTTGACAACATCGAAAGCGAAGCTATTCTGCGAGACTTCCTCAATTTTTGAAGTTCACAACATCAAGAACGAAGATGAACGAAGCATTTCTGCGAGACTTCCATCAAAAACGGAAAGCTGAGAGCCTCGTGCCAATGGGTTTTGCGATTTGTCCACTCCACCTGTCTAAAGTTCCGCGCCTGCCACGAAAAATTGATGCCAGGTCATACGAAGTGCTGCACCATGCTGCACCTGTCACGCAAAATCATTTCATCAAACCGACAGATCTGATGCTGCAAAATGCAACCTCTCTCACGAAATCAGCGCCCTAACCTCTTAACATCTCTGATGAACATGTCTCTTGTACTGTGCCTGCCAAGCAAAATGCATTTTTGCAGATTCTCTGCAAATGCTCCACGCCTGCCATCGCTTTGGAAATGCTAGAAAACCTTCACATTTTGCTTACTTTTGACAAGGTGCACAATCCCCTGCGCCTGCCACGCAAAAACGACATCTGAACGCCCAAAAGTGCTCCGAACCCGTCAGTTTTTTGCACTTTTGACTTCGAAATGTGCTTTGCGCCACAACGGCATACACTTTTTCGACATGCCAACTTCCAAAAAAGTGGTCCATGCATGGTGTGCGTTGTACATTTTGACTTGGAAATGGGCTTCGCGCCACAGCGTCGCACACTTTTTCGATATCTCAACTCCGAGGAGTCAGTTTTTAACACTTTTGACTTTGAAATGTGCTTCGCACCACAATGGCGCGCACTTTTTCGGCATCTCAACTTCCAAAAGTGCTCCGAATGTGAGGTGCTTTAAGTTTTTTCACTTGCAAATGTGCTTCGCGCCACAACGGCGTGCACTTTCTCATCCCTCACCTGGCCACATGGCTCCGCACCCGCCGCTTTAGCGAGCCTACTTTTCGACCCTCTGGAGCCACAAATCATTGGAAAAACAATGAAAAACACAGTGAATCATGACTTTTCTACCTTTTCGGGCACTTGCATCTTCTGCTTCTCTCCCCTGATCTTCTTTCTTCTTTTCTTTCCACCTCTGCTTTTCATCTGTCCATATTGTCGGAAGTTTGACTTCAAAACTTCCTTCGATGATTTCTGAGCCGTAGTATGTCTCAGTATTGGTCCTGGTCAAATATCTTCAATGACTATCAACCGTTAGCGATTGTGTGACTACGCTTTCTTTGCCCCGCGGTCCCCACCCATTGCCTTTTTCATCTTCTTTCACTTCTTGCACTTGCATTCTTGCTGGCCCAGGTCCAAAAATGGATGGTGGGGTGAGCCAGTCCAATTCTTCGTGCAGCACATTAACAACTGCCAATCCTTCGATGGTTCTGCCATCCAAAACGGCAGCATTTGTGCCCTGCCAAGCCGCATTGGCCGTACCCAGCTCCGCGCCGTGCAGAAGCTCAGTGAGGGCCCATATGTGGAGACCGAGACCTACCCCAAGGAGATGGAAATGTCGCCGGCAGTGCCATTCCTTCGTCACCTGCTTTGAATTACAGGAGGTATTGCCTGTAAACTGCTACTAGTACTAAACTATTTCAAACATGTTTGTGCAACGTTGTGTGTGGTAGATCATGCATTCAACTATTGTGCATGGGTGGTCTCAAAGTTCCTTTAAAGCATGTGCAACGTTGAAAATATGTAGTCAAATGCATGCCTGGATCCGCCAAGCAAAGGCATATACAGACTGACAGGATGAATTCTGCATGTTTTGTTTTTGTGTTGTTGATGATTCTTTGATTTTTCTATTCCAAACATGAGCTGCAGGCTACCCGCAGGTACTCAAGGGCTGGGTCGGTGGGGAGAAGGGTTTCGACCCTTTGGGTGTCACGGATGCATTGCCCGTGTACTGGGTCCGGGAAGCTGAGCTGAAGCACGGACGCGTTTGCATGCTCGCGACAGTTGGATGGATTGCGGGAGATCTTGGCTTTCGATTTCCAGGTGACAAGTTCCAAGCTGTAGCGAACAGCCTTGAGGCACATGACAAGATGGTAGAGGCTGGCTATATGCTTCCCTTCCTTGGAGCTATTGGCACCTTTGAGCTCTATTCACTCTGGCTCCTCTTCAAAGGTTGGGAGCAGGAAGTGAATCGCGATGCTGGGGCCTTCTTCTTGGGCAAGCAATTTCTTCCCAAGGAACCCGAGAAGGAGAAGGAGATGCGCTTGAAGGAGCTAGAGAACGGGCGCCTCGCCATGTTCGCCTTCAGTGGAATTGTCACACAAGCTGCCATCACCGGCAAGACTTGGCCATTCATGTGAGGGCTTAGTGAGGCTTAGTGAGGCTGTCAGCTGAGCGACTGGGCAGATCCGACATGAAAAAGAAACTCCGATCTTTGCCCGTCAGAATCTTTAGAACTTGCCCACCGAAGAGTGAACAGGCGAGAGTTATTATTAATTAATTATGAGATGTTAGAGTTGGTCAGGGTCTTGCAGGATTTCAAACTTCAACCTTTTACATATGCTACTCATATTGAATTCCTGTCTGAAAATAAGGAGCGCGTCCCAAGCAGAGCTGGATGATTTGGTGGCAAAGCACCGCAGCAAGGAACAGGCCTCCGGGATCCTCCGGGCAGGGCTGTGCAGATTGGGAGATTGGTGGGTCGAATGAAGCCGTTTGCCCAGCGCGTGGATTTTCCAGAAGCTCTGTGCCTTGGAGTCCCTGACTGGTTCTCCAAACAGTGCCTGGTTGTGAGATAAAAGAAATTTCCAGGCTCCATTGAATCCATTGAATCCATTGAATCCATTGAATCCATTGCTCAATACTGAGTTTTAAGATGTTTCAAGAGATTCTTCAGCAGCTTTGTTCGATGCTTTGGTCGAGAGTCCAGAGTGTGCCTCATCAGGTCGTCAAGTCATGGTCTAACGATAGTCTTGTTAGTTTTCACTCCAAGTCATGTTGCCTACACACACTACAGCCCTTCGTGGTACAATTACACAAGACTTTGCTTGGGTGTTGCATTTCACAATGTTTCCTCTCATCTTAGACTTCCAAGATTTTGTTTCACTGGCTTTCGTGCACTCCCTGTCAAATGTCTCTATTTTTATGTCAAGCTTTCAGCCTCCTCTACCTCAACTGTGCCAGGAGCTCTTTGCTCTAGCAGTTGAAGAACGTGATCCGGAAGGAATTCACAGCCTGGCTCTCTTGGGGCTTCAGGTGCAAGACAGGAAGCTCGTCCCAAAATTGTTTCAAAAACCGAAAAGATAATATAAGAACATATAAGAACCGTTAGGACAAAGACTTCTCTTGGTAGTGTGAAGCAATGTCCTGCATATTTTTCCACATGGCCTGGACTGACCTGGAAACTTTGCTTTGCTCCTTGTGAGAAGTGGTGGACATGTGCTAGGAAGAACTCCACTGAAGAGCTAATGCAAAAAATCAAAGTGCCTGGGCAGTCATTTGTTCAGGCGGTGTGGACATGTAGAGTAGACCACATGGAAGGGAATGAAGTCCAGGTAAATTAGACCAAAGAATACGGCTAAAATATGTAAAAATACTGATTTTGGTTGGTGGTTCCTGAAACTAGCTGTACATGACTTAAAGGGACACAGCCGCATAAAACACCCAAATGCTGCAAAGACATGCAAAGACCATGAAAGACCAATTCTTTGTGGCATGATGAACTAGTTGTGGTTCGTAGGACAGAAAATAATGATGCGATTTTAGTCCTACTGTATTCTCATCATTCAACCTAGCAGCTCCCATAGGGCAAGCATGTGTGTGTGTGCGTGGGCATGATGCAGGGAGCTTTGCCTCCATGCCCGTAGGTATGAAGGGCCCCAATATCGATTGCAGTGGATATTCATGCTGGCCTGTTAGTTGGACATGGTTTCAAAGTTTTGAGCAAGGATCAATAACTAAAGTTAAAGCAACATGATGGTGTTTCAATATGCTTTAATATTTTATAATATTTTATACTATTTTATAATATGCTTTACTGTGTTTTACAGGTTGCTGCAGCAAAAGATCTTGGATAGCGTCACGGCTTGAAACTGTTGGTTTTGAAGTCTTTAATGTACATATGAATACATATGATAGATAAGGAATAATGTAGGTTACTGATTAGTGTGGGGAGGCCCCCCCCCCCCCCCCCAAACAAATTTGGGGTACAGAATAGTGTAAAAAAAACCAAGGTACCGGGTACAGAATAGTGTAAAATAAAAAAAAGCTAGATTTAAATTGATTTCAATTTACTTTCAATTGATTTGAATTTATTTTGAATTGATTTCAATTTACTTTCAATTGATTTGAATTTATTTTGAATTGATTTCAATTTACTTTCAATTGATTTGAATTTATTTTGAATTGATTTCAATTTACTTTCAATTGATTTCAATTTACTTTCAATTGATTTGAATTTATTTTGAATTGATTTCAATTTACTTTCAATTGATTTCAATTTACTTTCAATTGATTTCAATTTACTTTCAATGGATTTCAATCTACGTTCAATTGATTTCACTTTACTTTCAATTTGCTTTCAATTTACTTTGAATTTACTTTCAATTGATTTCATTTTACTGCCAATTTACTTTCAATCGACATCCCATAGAAATCCAATAGTAGTCCCAAAGAAATATCATAGAAATACCATGGAAATCCCATAGGAATCTCACAGAAATACCATAGAAAGATCATAGAAATAACATGGATTAGCATAGGAACCACAAAAGAAATCCCATGAGAATTCCAATAATAATCCCATAGAAATATCATAGAAACATCATGGAAATACCTTGGAAATCCCACAGGAATCCAATAGAAATTCCATAGGAATCCAATAGAAATACCATAGAAATCCCATAGGAATCCAATGGAAATCCCATAAGAATACCATAGAACTCCCATAGCACCCCTTCAGAAATCCCATAGAAATCCTCCAGAAATATCATAGAAACATCATGGAACCCCCATAGGAATTCCATAGAAATCCAATAGTAATACCATAGAAATACCATAAAAGAAAAAAGCTTTAGCAAAGGAAAAGGTAAAGGGAATGCTTGAAAAAACATCACACCAGGAAGCATCTGGACACAATAGTGTACCCTCGAAACAAACCACACTATTGTGTATCAGGGTTGCTCATGGACTACCCCCTTGAAAAATTGTTTGAGTGATGTGTTTTAATTGGGTTTTAATAAGGCATCATATATTTTGGGAAACTGGGCATTTCTGAGAATTTCAAATGAAAGAAAGTAAGAAAGTAATTAAGTAATTAAAAGAAAAAACTTTAGCAAAGGAAAAGGTAAAGGAAATGATTGAAATAATCAAAAAATCATGACCTCAGGAAGCAGCAGGACACAATAGTGTACCCTCAAACAAACCACACTATTGTGTATCAGGGTTGCTCATGGACTACCCCCTTGAAAAATTCTTTGAGTGATGTGTTTTAATTGGGTTTTAATAAGGCATCATATATTTTGGGAAACTGTGCATTTCTGAGAATTTCAAATGAAAGAAACTAAGAACGGAATTAAGTAATTAAAAGAAAAAACTTTAGCAAAGGAAAAGGTAAAGGAAATGATTGAAAAAATCAAAAAATCATGACCTCAGGAAGCAACAGGACACAATAGTGTACCCTCAAACAAACCACACTATTGTGTATCAGGGTTGCTCATGGACTACCCCCTTGAAAAATTGTTTGAGTGATGTTTTTTAATTGGGTTTTAATAAGGCATCATATATTTTGGGAAACTGGGCATTTCTGAGAATTTCAAATGAAAGAAACTAAGAAAGGGATTAAGTAATTAAAAGAATCAACTTTAGCAAAGGAAAAGGTAAAGGAAATGATTGAAAAAATCAAAAAATCATGACTTCAGGAAGCAGCAGGACACAATAGTGTACCCTCCAAACAAACCACACTATTGTGTACCTGGATGTAATTTTCTGTGGAAGGCATCTGGGGAAAATTTCAATGATTCTGAGGAAAATTTCAATGATGGAAAATAAAAAGTAAAAGAAAAAAGCTTTAAAAAATGAAAAATGTTTGAACAACAAAAAAAGACCAAGACACAATTGTGTATCCTGACACAATGACACAATTGTGTATCCTGACACAATTTTACAAAATAATAAAAAAAATATAATTAAAAATAATAATAATTAAATTAAAAATTATTATAATTAAAAATAAAAATAAAAATAATTTAAAATAAAATAAAAACAATAATTAAATTAAAAAATATTATAATTAATTAATTAAAAATAAAAAAAATAACTTAAAATAAAATTAAAAAAATAATTAAATTAAAAATTATTATAATTAATTAATTAAAAACATATTTAAAATAAAATAAAAAAATAATTAAATTAAAAATTATTATAATTACTTAATTAAATAAAAATAAAAATTAATTAAAAATAAAATAAAAAATAATTAAATTAAAAATTATTATAATTAAAAATAAAAATAAACTATTTTAAAATTTTAAAATAAAATAAAAAACAATTAAAAACTAAAAAAATGAAAAAAAACTTACACCAAAATCCTGTGGACACAAAACTGTACCCTCAATCATTTCCAGAGTTACAGAATAATTTTGAGGTCTGTGGACACAATTCTGTATCCCCACACTAATCTGCATCCCACATTATATACATATTATGTATATATGTATATATTATTATTATTGTTATTATTATTGTTATTATTACTTATTATTATTATACTTATATATATATGTATTTACAATGGTGATTCAAAGCAACTCCATTCATTGGTGACCCCCAAGCAATGTTAGGCTTATTAAAGGGCTATCAGCCACCAAGCACCAATGAGGGTTTATTAACCATCTAGGAATCTAGTGAGAATCCCATCTCCCTACTAATATGGTAATATTATCGAGGGCGACTCTAGACCCCACGACTAAAAGGCCGAACCTGGCCACTGTTGTTGGGGGGCTCACCGATCTGGGGCTGGCTGAGTACCATTGAGGATTTGGCCATGAAAACTAGGTATCTAAGCATCAGCTATAGGAAGTTCATGAAGGAAAAATGGATACAGTTGTGTCAGAAAAGGAGGACCACCAATTTCAGTCAATTCTGTCAGGTAAATACGAGAAAATGAGCTTTGAAACCATGAGAATACGATGTCACTACGACTGAATATCCTTAGCGGAAGCTCAGAACATGTACAGAAATAACGCCGTTGGAAAGGTGATAGACCCTGCCGGTTGTGTGTTGGCCCTTGAACTAGTTCGATATATCTACCATAAACCATAGTTTCAAATAATCTAGTTGCAAATCAACTTAGCTAATGTGGCCCACAACTTGCAACATATCATATCAAATTGGTGACATATCCCATTATATGATATATATATATATATTGATATATGCCAAGTACATCCCAACTA